ACTGGAGTAGGCAGTACCCATCTGGAGGGTCAAAGACAACATCTTAATAGGAGCTCCTCATTTCAGGAGGAGAAACAGCACTCTTCCTCCCCCAGACATTTAGAATCATAGAATCATAGAATTGTCTAGGTTGGAAAAGACCTTTAAGATCCTCAAGTCCAACCATTAACCTAACACTGCCATCCCACCACTAAACCCTGTCCCTAAGCACCTCATCTACCCTTCCTTTAAATATCTCCAGGGATGGGGACTCGACCACCTCCCTGGGCAGCCCATTCCAGAGCCTGACAACCCTTTTGGTGAAGAAATTTGTACCCGTTTCCCTCCCCTACTGAAGAACTACCAGGCTGGCAAGAGGCATTTCATAAGAACATCAAATAGCAGAGATCAGAAGGTGCTCTAGACTCCACGTGCCTCCTAACTGTTGATATATGACCACTGATGTCCTCAAAAGGGCAAAACCCCCAAATCCTGCTTCAGGTAACGTAAGATGGGAGCTCCTGTAATTCCTCGAGCTCTTACAGCTCAAGACAAATAGAAATAGCCACAGAAGGGTAACACTGACAGCAGTGTGAAGCTGCTGCCATCAACACCTGGAACAAAACATCCATCTGAACAGCAGGAGGAGTGTAATCGCCAAGATGTAGCACAACCAGGGTGGGGAAGACACCAACCTGACCCCCTACTTCTGAGAGCAAACTGAACCGGCAGCAGTAAAATCCCTAAAACTACATCTGAACGCTACACCATGGCTATGAGGAGAATCTGAAAATCATCTCCCTGCTCCAGCCCTTGGGAAGGAGAACCTGCTCCCTCGGCCGGTCTCTACAGAGCACCTCCAGGTTTCTCCCCAGGCTCACTTTGTCACCTGGGGAGCCTCAGTCCCCACCTTGTCTGTCCCCTGGAGGTAAGTGGCATGCCTTCCCCGCACGCGTGCATCGATGCCACCGCCCTCAGAAAACAACCTCGCTCCTGGCACGAGACCACGGGGGATAATTTTTAACGTCGCTTTTTTTGCACATCTCTTTTGCCCAAACGGGGAACAATTCCTGACGCTAAAAACGTCCTTTGCTTGACCCCACTGGCTGCAAACCCGAATCGGTTGCTTCCTTGTTTCAGCTATTTCGCTTCCCTGTTTAAAGGGCTCCAAGAGCTGCTGCCAAGCCTTCCTCCCTGCAAAACTACAGAAAAAGGCACAGTCTGCTGCTCTTCTGCTCAGTCCCCTATTTTCTGTCACCTGGGACATGATCAACGCCACTGGAAAAGCACCTCTGATACCTCTCCTAACCCTGGGAGCAACCTCTCCCATCACAATTCCGCTTCTGCGGCAGACTGATGGATGTCACTCAGTCATATGGCTGCATCCCTGTGGTCCTCCCGTTCTGGACTCCCCCCCCAGCGAGAGACTCATTTCCTCTTTCCAAATCTCACTTCGTCCCATAGATTTCGCTGAGGACTATGCTTCTGACTTTCTCCAAAGCCCACCCCTTCCCATGCAACACCCTCCTCCCTTCCTTTTCTGCATCTGCAAAACGAGGTGAGATAACCATTGCCCCTCTTTTCCCAGCTGGAACACCAAGACCTCGTGCGCTTTTTCCAGCCGCGCAATGGTCGGTGGCTGCTCCTCCTCCCCGTCTGAAATTCAGAGCAGGAGTGCTTTCACTGGATGAGAAGTTTAAACCAGTTCTGATGGGAAAGCCAAGCCCACGCTGAAGGGAAACCACAGAGCACGTACTGGGAGGCTCAACGTTCAGCTGAGCCTGTGGCAGCTTGGGGACCTTTTGCTACCAGTGCCCTGAGGCAGAAGATGCTTTTGTCCAACCACCTCCATGCTCACAGCCCGGCCTGTCCCCGTTACCTGTGGACACCAGTCACGCTCTCCTCTACTATCCCCTTGATCTTCTTGAACATGTTGGGGTATTTCTTGTAAATCCAGTGGGTGAGATCTCCCCCGTCATCCAAGATCTGTAATAAAAATAAGCACAGAGTCACCGCTCTGAAGAAGCCGTAGGTCCAGCCAACCCCAAAAAAGTCCAAGGGATAAATCACACACCCAAATCATTCCTACTCAAGCCCATGTTCTGGCATCTCAAATGCCACATCATGACAGCTTAGGTGAGACCGCTCTGCTTGCACCAGCAATGTGCTGGAAAGGCAAGAGGTCAGACAAACACGAGAGACCTTGATGTTTGTAATGAGACCAGGGGAACCATGGAAAACTGCTGTCGAAGCTCCTCTCTCCCCATCTCCCAGAAGCACAGATGGAAAAAGCCTTTGAACAGACCTTGATGTTTGTAACGAGACCAGGGGAACCATGGAAACTGCTGTCGAAGCTCTTGTCTCCCTGTCTCCCAGAAGCACAGATGGAAAAAGCCTTTGAACCATACAGAGTCATCAGCTTTTCTAATATGACTGCTAATGGAGGAGGATGGAGAAGGAGGAGCATGGAGGAGGATGAAGAATCATAGAATGGTTTGGGTTGGAAGGGACCCCCAGAGGTCACCCAGCCCAACCCCCCTGCAGGAGCAGGGACACCTTTAACCACATCAGGTTGCTCACAGCCCCGGCCAACCTGGCCTGGAATGGTCCCAGGGATGGGGCCTCCACCACCTCTCTGGGCAACCCCTGCCAGGGTTTCAAAAAGAAGGAGGAGGGTGGAGGAGGATGGAGAAGGAGGAGGGTGGAGGAGGTTGAAGAAGGAGGACTGTGGAGGAGGATGAAGAAGGAGGAGGAGGGTGCAGAGCCACTAATGCCAATTATAATGTAACTGCATCATAAAACACTGCGCATGAAAAATACTGAACCTCTTTCAGACAACAGCTTTGGGTCTCTGCCCATTTCATCTGGCTTTGAACTTCAGACTCTGAAGCACAAAACTCTTCTTTATCAGATCAGGAGCCTCCCAAGCCACCCATTTCCTCCTAATGACACATTGCAGGGCGGCGGAGAAAGCCAGAGACTTACTGCTTTAATAAAAACATTAAAGATGAGCAAGGAAAGGTGCCCTTTGAAAAAGTGCCTTGGAAAGGACAGACGTAAAAACAGTTCGGTCACAGAAATCTAAAAATTGCAGTGAAAAGAGATGTCCAAGAGCTTATCTGTTCTCTGCTGGTCACCCAGCACATGGACATACCTGGCTCTGGACATGAGGGTCGTGAACACTGCTGGAAGTCTAACAGGTACCTCCAGACACACCTTTGCGTGGGTCGATGTTATTCAGATATTTTTGTGACGTGCTACAGTGTCACCAGGATGATCAAAGGCGTTCAGCCAAGGCTTATTTTTTACCTCTGTAACTACAGAACCTCTGATAATTACGGGAAACCTCACTGCTAGTGGTAAGCAGTGGGGTTTATTTGGAGTCCTGCTGTTTGTCCCCTACACACCCTCCTCCTAATGAACATGGGCCCAGTCCTAACCAGGTTGGGTCATCCTGGCTTGTATGAGGAGTGGTGTGGCCAGCAGGAGCAGGGCAGGGACCGTGCCCCTGTGCTGGGCACTGGGGGGGCCACCCCTCGAATGCTGGGGTCAGGGTTGGGCCCCTCCCTCCCCGAAGGACCTGGGGGGGCTGGAGCGTGTCCAGAGAAGGGCAGCGGAGCTGGGGAGGGGTCTGGAGCCCCAGGCTGCTGGGGAGCGGCTGGGGGAGCTGGGGGGGTTCAGCCTGGAGCAGAGGAGGCTGAGGGGAGCCCTCATCGCTGCCTACAACTGCCTGAGAGGAGGGGG